ACACGTCTCTTTGTGTACAGCTGTTAGAGCAGCCATCCGTGCAACATCATCATCATCATCATCATCATCACAATCATCATCACCTCCTGCTTCTTCTTTTGAATCAGAATTTTCATCTGCTTCTTCTTCCCGTATTTTCTTCACTTCTCCCCCTCTTACTCCCACTTCTTCTTCTTCTTCTTCTTCTTCTTCTTCTTCTTCTTCTGTTGCTGTTTCTATTTCTTCTTCCTCTATTTCCCCATTTCCTTCTTTTTTATCTTCTTCTCCATCTTCTTCTTCTTTCCCTATTTATTTATTTCCTTCTTCTTCTTCTACTCCCGCTTCTTCTACTCCCGCTTCTTCTTCTTCTTCTTCTTCTTCTTCTTCTTCTTCTTCTTCTTCTTCAATTAAATATCTGGAAAGTGTTTTGTCAAAGGACGGAAAGTGGGACACGGAAATCCGAAGATGCATGCCAAAAGCTAAGCATAGTATTACAAGACAGGAAACAAAGTAAAGAATACTGAACTGCTACGTGATATCTGTCCTCCTGTATGTCAGCGATGAAAGATGAAGAAACTCGAAGCAACAGAAATGTAGTTCTACAGAAGGATGCTAAGGATACCATGCGCTGAATATGTGAGCAACCATGAAGTTTTGAAGAGAATGGAAGCTAAGAGGAAAGTTATACTCAACATCAGGAAGAGGCAGCTGAAATTTCTGGGACACGTAATGAGAAGGCTTGGAAAATCTGATACTCACAAGACGAATAGAGAAGAAAAGAGGGACAAAGGAAAGCAACGCGTGACATACTTAATGACCATGAGCAAAGGAATAGCAGAACAGGGTCTGAAAAAAATAACAAAAAGACAAAACTTATTAAAAGCTACAAGTGACAGGATGAGGTGGATGACCATGATCGATTAGGTCCTGAAGGGATACGGCACATAAACGAAGAAAGATGAAGACATCCAAGCGATTGGTTGTGCGGATGGAGGATGGATGTTTTTAGATTGACAATCACTAAGTAAATCCTCAACAAAAAAAAAAAGAAACAGTTTCTATCTCTAACGTCGTACAGCCATATTCCAAGATCCGGTAAGGGGAGGTCACTCGTAAACGAAACATATTTTTTTATCCAGCAATATCAAAGAGTCAGTTTTGGTTGAGTAGTTTTTAAAACCTGTACGGTTGATAATCAAGGATTCCCGGGTGTAGCAGTTTTCTAAGAAAGGCCAACAGATATATTACCGCAAATTTTCAGAAAAGAAATAAAGATATGGATATTAGTTCGTTCAGCTCAGTGAATAATGAGCAGAGAATTCGATCTTTCCGAACGGGTTTGACACCATGCATGGCCTCGATATGAACATCTCGATCTAATAAGACTGACTTTTGGGGCATTTTGAACTTCTGCATTCGTAAAAAGCTTCCTTTCCATATTAGTTGCTCTGAGTTGACTTCTTCTAAAGAGAAATCAGTTCAGAAACCGTTTCAATCGAAGTCTGACAAAAGGCCGCTGCATTTAGAGCTTTTTGGCGCATTCATTGTGAATAGGACTTCTACTCTGCTAACTCTTATACCCACAGTAAGACAAAGACTAAGATATGTATGTAAAATTCAACGCCATACCAGCGACTGCTGTACAGTTCCCTCACAGATGAAGAGTGATTCTATAGAAGGATGCCGAGAATACCACGAGAATACTAGAACATGTGACTAATGAGGAAGTTTTAAGTCAGACTGAACGATAAATGAGAATTATATATAACATAAGATGGAGACTATTAAAATTTCTATTTTACATAATGAAGAAAAAGTGTTGGAAAATTCTAACACTCAGTATGTTCCGTGAGTGTTAGATTTTTCCAAGTCTTTTTCTTCATTGTGTAACGATGAACGAGGTAATTAGGCTAGAAACCTACCGAGAAAAAAAATTGTGTAAATGGCTGGTTGGTTGGTTGGCTTGTTGATTTTATTTAGCGATGTATCAACATCTTTGTGTTATTTAATGCCGAAATATAAATATTTTGAACATAATTTTATGGCTTCTTCAACTTATATATTGAAGTTCTATTTTGGAATACAGTTTGATTTAAGAAATTCTACGATATTATATGGATTAAATTCGTTATTCTTTCAAGTTGTTTGTTTGTTTGGTTGGCTTGTTGATTTTGTTTAGTAGCATATCAATCTCTATGGGTTATTCAATGCTGAAATCTAAATATTTTCGACATAATATTATGGCTTCAACTTATATATTGAAGTTCTATTTTGGAATACAGTTTGATTTAAGAAATTCTGCGATATTATAATGTGATCCATTATTCTTTAAAGTTAGTTGTTTGTTTGGTTGGCTTGTTGATTTTGTTTAGTAGCATATCAATCTCTATGGGTTATTCAATGCTGAAATCTAAATATTTTCGACATAATATTATGGCTTCAACTTATATATTGAAGTTCTATTTTGGAATACAGTTTGATTTAAGAAATTCTGCGATATTATATGGATTAATGTGATCCATTATTCTTTAAAGTTAGTTGTTTGTTTGGTTGGCTTGTTGATTTTGTTTAGTAGCATATCAATCTCTATGGGTTATTCAATGCTGAAATCTAAATATTTTGGACATAATTTTATGGCTTCAACTAATATATTTTGAAAATAATTGTATGCTTTCAACTACAGATAAAATGTAGTTAGTCATTTTACAATAAATATGTATTGTTGGTAATTCTTTTTTAATTTTAATTTTTATATTGTTGCTATTTTTAATATAAAAATATATTTTAATACTTTCAAAATCTTTTATTTTGTTTGGGGGTGCAATATTTGCCCATAGCTGGGAGCCTAACAGGTGCTACCAAACGGGGTGAGGGTGGACCTGGGAACAACAACAATTAAGATGAAACTTCCAATCTCTCGATCAGTAGGCTTGTGGTCGGATGAAGTTTATCGTCATACCCAGGACTAGAATTTGATAGAAAAAGTTATTATTATACTAGGCGGCGAAAAGAAATAACAAATCATGGATAGAAAAAAATGATGACATATCGGATGTGACAGCAAAACTGTTCAAATCGTGCAAAAGAAACCTAATTCTAATTGTTAGATGAAGGTTTGAACCCTTGTATCAAAGAAATGATTAAAGATATCTTACTGGAATTCTCCGAGGTTTTTCTTACTCTATTAGACTCCAAAATAATAATTACACTCCAAACTTGACAGAATAATCGTGATGAAACGAAAATGACGATCTCAAGCTCAATTAAAGTTCAGTATATATATATATATATATATATATATATATATATATATATATATATATATATATATATATTATTCCAGTATTTTCCAACTTATTCAAGATGATCTTCGCCTTCTCAAACTTTCTTTCTGTCCTGGAATGAAAAGGTGCTTCATATTCAAGTCTTTTTTTTTTTACTGCTATTTGGACTGTCATAGTTGAACGTCCTCTCTCACGTGCCAAATATCTTATGAATTCAGTTGGATCTTTTCTAATTATTCTCTTTAGTTGAAATAATGATCCCTCTTGTTGTTTTCACCTCCTGATCCAGTTTTCGTCTCTAATGTTCCCTCTTTTTTAAAATTTATTCACCGTTCTTGAACGGACTTTGAAGATGGAAGCCAGAGTATGAATGGTGGTACCATTATTGAAGACCTGAATGATCTTTTCCTTTCATCATTGCTCATTTTGGAAGACAGTGGGTTTGACACAAAACGATTTAACGTGTTTGATTTAAGCTGAATAGCTTAAAGTGTTTTTCAGTGATTCTTACGACAAATCGTATCAAGGTGGCTAACCGTCTTATCTGTAAACCTGGAAGAAAGAAACTCAATCTGTTTAGCGGGTGTTTAGATATTAAACATGTTGTGGGATCGGTAATTATGCTATTACACGGTTTGGACAATTTTGCTGTTACACCCGATATATGAATAAAACACGTTTAAGAAATTATTATTCGACTGTTCAGTTGGCATTGCGATGTAGTTTATCATCACACGTCACACCCAGGACTACGACTGGATGGCAGAACAGAGAATGGGGGAGAGAGTAAAAAGAAAAAAAAAATTGCTAAAAGCTACAAACGGCGGTAAGTTGTGGAGAGCCATGATCGTCAAGAAGAATGAAAAAGAAGAAAAAAGAAGGAAGAAGATGACGAAGAAAAAGTTGAAGAAAACGACTTCAACGACAACACCATAATTGTGGGGCAACTAGTGATACTTGACCGCACTTCAAGATAAGTTGTCGATATAACTAATTTGTTAACTGCAATGAAATCTTTATTAAGATAAATCAAGTGAAAAGCTATTTCAATCATCATTGACTGTTTCTCTCAACGATCAAGATGTGATTAACGAATCCCAATATTTGAAGGTAGTGTTTCGCTATTTCCACCCATGGCAGACTGCGAAATGGCTTGACGTTTCTTATCAAGATTTTCAATCAATAGTGGTCATATGGGAGGAGGGTATATGTTTTTATAGTCACAATCACTAAGGTAAATCGCTAACAAGACACTAAAGAACTTCTTTCTGCCTATGAATTATAATTACGTACTTAGGATAACCCTTGACGACTTCCAATCAGTTTCGTCTACCTAGTTTTACCGACAGTTGTTTGGTTCAATCCATGGTGTCATTTTCAGATACTTTACCAGTCATGTCGTAGGCTGAACGCTAATACCAAATCACATGGTCATAGCAATAAGGATCTAATCATTTGGCCATGTGCCGAATACTCTTTAGAGAAGACATATGTAATAAATCCGGTAGAGCAGTCGGAGTTCACTCATAAACGGAACATGAGTTCTCCGTCTCAATATGGAGGGAATTACATAGATGAAACCATAAATTGAAGTAATTCAAGTTATTTAACTCATGACAAAAGAATTGAAATTACTTACCTTGCGTATGCAATCAATATGTATTTAAATTTTTAATATATTTTTAAACTTTTAATTATATATCATTAATATGATTAATTCACATTTAAATCTTGCTAATGCAATGGAAGGAAATAGAATTCATTGAAGCTGAAATCTGTATCTATCTATCTATCTATCTATCTATCTATCTATCTATCTATCTATCTCACTCCCTTCATATCTATCTTTTTATCTCAGTCTGTTCATATCTATCTATCTATCTATCTATCTATCTATCTATCTTCATATCAATCTTTTATCTTCAGTCTGTTCTATCTATCTATCTATCTATCTATCTATCTATCTATCTATATATATATATATATATATATATATATATATTTATCAATATCACTCTCTTCATATCTATCTTTTTATCTCATTCTATTCATCTATATATATATATATATATATATATTTATATATATATATATATTTATCTATCTATCTATCTATCTAGCTTTTTATCTATATATATATATATATATATATATATATATATATATATATTTATCTATCTATCTCTCTTCATATCTATCTTTTTTCTCAGTCTGTTCATATATATATATATATATATATATATATATCTATATATCTATATATGTCTATTTATATGTATCTATCCTTCATATCTATCTACCTATCTCATTCTATCTGTTCATCTCATCTATATCATATGTATCTATCTCATTATCTATGTATATTTATATCTATCTATCTATCTATCTATCTATCTATCTCATTGTCTTCCTATTTATCTGCCCCTCTTTATCTATCTATCTATCTATCTATCTATCTATCTATCTATCTATCTATCTATCTATGTCTGTTGATGTCTATCTCACTGTCTCCATATTTATCTCTCTCTCTCTCTCTCTCATACTTTTTATATCTATCTATGTCTCCTCTTTGTCTATCTATCTCTCAATCTATCGATCTATCTATCTATCATAGTCACTCTTTCTTTTCTTCACTTTTCTTCTATCTATACTTCTATATTTCTTTATAATAATTTAATTCTTATTGATACATATTTAATTCAACATGTTAACTTTTTCATTTATGGTTACATTCTCGAAGAATTAACACAAAGAATTATTTTACAATTCAATCATTAAGGGGATTGATCAATAAACAAGTCATACAAAAATCCCTAAACTCGAATAAACAATAGTCAGTTGTATATTCACTGAATGGATTTCTTGGATTTACGTGTAATCAGTAATTTGTCTGAAATATAGAACTATATGAATAATATACTTACTGAAACCGTTTTATCTGTCTGTACATATCTATCTATCTATCTATCTATCTATCTATCTATCTATCTATCTATCTATCTATCTATCTATCTCATAGTCTTCATAATGGATTGCTTTCTTAAGCTGGCTGGAGTACCTTCCAGGATTTATTGTCAGTGGACGCAATCTTAACGATATACGATGCGCAGATGACACTGCGTTGATGGCTGATACTTTGACAGAAAACTGCAGGACCTCCCAGACAAGGTGGTAAAGGTAAACATGAAGGAATAAGGAAGTACCAATTGTAAGAAGATAGGGTGTGTGGTGGTCAGTGACAAAAAAAAAAAGAACAAGATGAGAAATAAGAATATAATTAATTCACATTATGACTTACTGATGTAATGGAAGGAAATAGAATTTTTCTATGGTATTAATTCATTGAAGCTGATATCTATCTATCTATCTATTCTATCTATCTATCTATCTATCTATCTATCTATCTATCTATCTATCTATCTATCTATCTATCTATGTCTGTTCACATCTCTCTCTTTATCTATCTATCTATCTATCTATATATATATATACATATATATATATATATATATATATATATATATATATATATATATATATATTTTCATATCTATCTGTTTATATCAGTCTGTTTATCTCTATCTATCTCATATCTATCTATCTATCTATCTATCTATCTATCTAATATCTATCTATTTATGTCTGAACAATAATAGAAAAAAGAATCTGCGATGCCAAAATGAAACAGGTAAAGACGTGTAAATATCTGGGACTGTTTTAACAGAGGAGGGAGAAAGTGACCCCGAAAGTCGAAGATGCATTGGAATAGCAAATAATATTTTACAAAAGCTAAGCAAAGTACTAAAAAACAGAAAAGTTTCGTTAGAAACAAAGAAAATTGTGGTGAACTGTTAATAAATATCAATACTCCTCCATCAGTGTGACGATAAACTATATCCGGCATCAAGGCCTCTGATTGTGAGGTTTTGAGGAGCATGGAACCACTTCTTACTAGCTGTTGTTCACAGGTCTACCACTATGAAAGTATAAGCAAATAGTTACTCCCAAACTGGGGTCAAACGACTTTGAAAGTATAAACAATTTTATAATAAAATTAACAGAAATACATTTTTGTAAAAAATTACGAATGCTCCCAGGAAAATTAAATTTCCGCATTAAATGACCCATAAGAAGTTGATGTACCGCTAAACAAATAGTTAACCTCCAAACTTGGGTAAAAAAAACTATGAATGTATGAAAATACATTTTGTATAGTAAAACTACTAATATTTTTGTAGTAAAAAATTATCAGAAATAAATGTTTGTAAAAAATAAAAAATTGCCAGCAATACATTTTCATAGAAAAAAATACCAGAAATAAATTTTCGTAAAAAATTTTTAAAAATTACCAGAAAAACATTTTTGTATAAAAAAAAAAAAAAAAATCAGCAATGCATTTTTGTATTACTGATCCTAATAAAATTAAATTTTGGCATTGAATGACCCATAAGGTGTTGATATACCGCTAAACATACAAACCAGCATCAGTAATACGGAGTTATTAATTCAGTAAGAGCAGTTTCAAACTTGATATTTGTAAATAAAAACAAGATATGGATAACTAAAGTAGGGATTAATGTTCATACTGTATATATATATTATGAACAGTACCTAACATCTAAAAAAAAAATCAATATTATTTATTCAGGAAAATGTGTCTTGAGGAAGATCAACTGAATGCTAATCAAAAAAACAAATATCCCCCTACCCGGAAAAATAAAAAAAATTCTTATATTTATTCGCGGAAAAGGCAGATTAAGCAATTGCCAAATCACTTTGTTTATTGCTACCATGATTCGGGAATCAAACCTCAAAAATTAGACACCGCTGTTTTAAACAAGATACAATTTTTCAGAATAACTATAGGAAATAATTATGAGATCAATTAATGTTGAAAAAATATATTATAGAATGATCAACAACAAACCACTGTTATTAATTTTTGCTTCTCGTCTACGACTGAAATTTTGACCTACACTACAGAAATTGGTACAAATACTACGAATATTGGAGAAAGAAAGTTGAAGGCGAGTAGGAATTGAGCTTAAGAACAAAAGATGAATATGAAACAAGAGTTCGATATTTCAGCTCTCGTTTGGATTTGAATTTTCAAATAATGCTACAGATCCTTGATTGGGTTTAAATCTGGGGACTGACTTGGCCATTTCAGGATATTTACATTAATTTCAGAAAGCCATGTCTTCGTACATTTTGCAGTGTGTTGGAAGAGCCAATCAGGAGAAAGTTGAAGATTTTCAACTGAAATCATTAAATATTCTTCCAAAATATTTTGATATACTGCAGCATTCATTCTACCATCTATTACTGATATGTTGCCAGTACCTTTTGCAGAAAAACATCCCCAGACCATAATACAGCCACCACTGAATTTCGCTGTTGGAAATGTGTTCTTTTGTTTGAAGGCATCGCCATTTTTCCTCCATACATGAATTCTAGAATTTCGTCCAAACAAATCAATTTTGATTTCGTCTGTCCATAATACTCTTTTCCAATACGTTTTTTTTCTTATTCTTATGTTCACGAATGAATTCCATCTTGACATCTCTGTGACTTTTCAATAGCAATAGAGTTGTCCGAGGGGAGCGTGACTTTAGATTGTCTCTATGAATGTCATTGCTTATTGTCCGTTTAGTGACACAGATTCCTGATGAAAGCAAATCATCCTGCAACTCTTAACGAGTAATCATTGGATTTTCTTTAATTTGACGCATTAATTTCCTCGAAGATCTTGAAGTAATCTTCTGTGGAGCACCTGTTTTTCTTTGGTGTTCAACAGTTTTGAGCTTTTTTATACCTTGCAATAAATGAACTAATGGTAGTAAATGGAATATTTAGGTTGTCTGAGATTTCCCTGTAACTTTTACCTTCTTTCCAGAGCTTAACAATCAGTTATTTTTGCGAATTTTTCTTTACTTCTTGATATGATGATAACCTTCTTGCATGAATATCAATTACAGAATGTTATGTTTGTATTTTTAGGCTTAAAATAGCTACTGATAGTATTATAGGAACATTCTAGAATATTACACTAGATTAATCTAGAGTACTAAATCAATTTAAACGTTTTAAAATTTGAAATTTGCATTGTACTAATAATGTTTTACTCATTAAAATGAATAAATGGGATTTATTTATATTAAATCAATTTTTTTTCTGTTTTATATGCATATTTAGTTATTAGGCATTTGTATACAGTTAATTTTATGAAAAGTACATTTATTCATTGGTTGGAAATACAAAAAATTAGAAATTTCTATGTATATGAATATTTTTCTCTCACTGTATATATATATATATATATATATATATATATATATATATATGAAAGACAACTGCTGTGGTTTTATATATATATATATATATATATATATATATATATATATATATAAACACACAAACACACATACACACACACATACACACACACACACACACACACACACACACACACACACACATATATATATATATATATATATATATATATATATATATATATATATATCGGCCTGTGTGTGTTTGCGTTTGTGATTGTGTGCATGCGAATGCACAAAGGTGTTTGAGAAACAATGATTAATATTATTGTTGTTTTTTTTAAAATTAACCTTATCTAAAAAGGTTACGTTCTCGCATGAAAATGGCGAAAAGTAAAGTGCATATTTATGTTCGTATAACGTGATCAAATTATAAATTTAAATATCTTGCGATATCAAGTTTTCTCTTATAACGAATAAAACCCTAATCATATTGATTTGATTTCGATTGATACAAATGATCGACAAAAAACAGAGTTTAAACAGCACGGGCTTCGATATTAAGGCACTTAATAGGAACAATTCTATCCTTTTATATTTCATTCAATGTTTATCGAAGCATTTGACCATGCCTAAACTTATTTCATCATGGTTCAGGGGTTAATGCTTCCGTATATTATCACAAGAATTAAGAAGACAGACGATAACGATTGACATTGCATTTAATTTTTTTATTACAATCAAACCTTATTGGAAAACAAGAAATCGGGAAAGAGTTCCACAAGTAAGTAGTGCGAAAGAAGAAACTTACAGTTACATCTAACCATTTCAACATTAAAAAGATGAGACCATGCCGCTAGTCTAATACTACGCTTCAATTCGTAATATCGGGGTGCCAAAAACGAAAGCTCATCAGAACAATTACTATGAAAATATTTATAGAAATGTCACAGCGGAACTTGGTTATGGTGGTGAGACAATAGCTGAAGTCGGTGAGACAATAGCTGAAGTCAAGATTTCAGGTCAAGGCTGATATCAATGTAGTTTCAACTTTGGATTTTATAAAGAATTCCTAAATTCATACCAGAAGCACCAGAGCAGACACTGCTTTTTACATGCGTGTATGTAATGTCTGTGCGTACGTCATTTCTGTGCCTGAGTGGCTTACGTGTGTGCTTGTGCCATTTAATGTAGACAACAACACACGCACACATACGTACATACGCATCATTGCGTTTGAAGTAAGTTATTGGAATAATAAATTCTCCTCTTCCCCAGCCTGAACATTTTCAACAGTGGTCTGGGCAATTCAGTCATAAATTTGCAGACAAAAATAACAAAAAAAAATTTCAACAGCTTTATGCCCTTCAAGATTTCTCTATACTGGCAGGTATGGTGATTTTCTAAGCTTTGCCCATGTCGTAAACTGCGGAGGATCGAACTCACTACTCAGTCATAATTGTTCTAGCGAGACAATCTGGCTAACCACCACACTACGTCGAGACAGTCATGTGATCTTCTGAGAATAGCATAGATGTTGTACATGGGCGAAAGTGTGAAACACCCAGTGAGGATCGAACTCACTACTCAGTCATAAATATTTTAGCAAGACAATCTCGCTAACCATTACACCACGCCGAGGTAGCCATACGATTTTCTGAGAGTAACATAGATTTGGCACATGCCCGAAAATGTGAAACACCCAGTGAGGATCGAACTCACTACTGAGTCGTACTTGATCTAGCAAGACAAGATTGCTAACTATTACAATCTTTAATTAAAGGTATGTATGGCTGTGGAATAAGATTTAAAGAATAAATAAAACTGTCTTACTGATAATAAAACTGTTTTTCTTACGATTATCGATAATTATTTTACTGTTTCAATCGCTTGCTATCACTCTGTCTACTTTTATCAATATCAGTCTGCTCCTATTAGTTGAAAACGTAGAGATGGCCAGGACGTAAATATCTAGTTTATCACATATGGAAGTAAACTGAATGATGATAATGATGATGATGCTTCTTGGCTTTCCACAATTCTGTAAGACTTTGTAGCGCTTAGTAAATTTTGACCTTCTGCTATCATTCCTAAACCTTGCTCTCCCATCCCTTTACTAAAACTCGCTTTGTAGGTTATGTGTTGTTTTCATATCTACCTCTTGCATTCAATTTGAGTATCAAATTTTCCATTCCCTCTTTCCTCATTATGTGCCTTAAAAATTTCAACCGTCTCTTTCTAATGTTAAGTATAAGAGTCTTTTTCGTTTCCATTTTCTCCAAAACTTCGTCGTTGCTCCCATATTCCGTCCATAGCATTCTCAGCATCAATCTGTAGAACTATATTGATGTTGCTTCAAGTCTGTTCTTCATCTGAGGAGATTGTCCAGCATTCATGGTCATATAGAAGGACTAATATTGCATATCATTTTAGTACTCTTCAGGAACAATAAAAAAAAACAATTATATACAGTTCTTTAAAGGTCATAATGTATGTCTATATTTCTGAGATGAGGTATTATGTACTGTATTTACATTAGTCGGACTATTGTCCTCATCTTTGTCGCCATATTTTCACAACGTTTTGGCCGTTATACGCTCCGGCCTTCTTCAGGTGGTTGAAATTTCGAACGGAACCCTTTATTACGATCACTGGGGTAGACTGTTCTAGTTCCACGTGCCATGTTTGATGGATGTCAGTTTTTAGTTATCTCCTGCTAATTTCCCTCTGAAAGTTCTCCACTGCCTTAACCGGGTATTGAACTCACACTCTTTGGGTCCTGTCACTGGATCTAACCAACACCTTTATCATTGAGGACACATGGCGCTTGGAACTAGAACAGTCTACCCCAGTGAGCGAAATAAAGGATTAAGTTCGAAATTCCAACCACCTGAAGAAGGCCGAAGCGTACAACGGCCGAAACGTTGTGACAAATATGGCGACAAAGATGAGGACAATAGTCCGACTAATGTAAATACTGTACATAATGTATGTAGATAAAGAAATTTCTTATATATCAATGTCACATTTTTGTTGCTTTTGCCGTGCATATAAAATTATCGGAGAGTTCCAACTTATCAAAGCTTATTTCCCAAAATTGGCAGACACACGCAAATGACAAAAAAGCTAGTCGTCTTTTTTACATTTCAAATGTTTATCTTGCTAAAAACTCTGAAAACCTTCACTGCTTAGCTATTATCCAATCGAATCGAATCGGTTAAGTTGTCGTCCTTGTAAGAAAAGGCCCACTTATATGAAAGATGAGTTTAAATTTCATTGGGAGCTATCGTAACTTTTCATTTATAATACGATGTTCAGTGTTAAATTCTCAGATTAAATGTTACCGATTAACCTGGAAACTGATTTTTCATTGCAATTCGCTAGAATATATTACGCTATGATGTGCATTTTTGTCAAGTAATGCGCCAAAATACAGATTCAGTCATTATCGATAGGTTTCTAACAGTTTAAAGTTGCTAGAATTATACTGATGTTTTTTTTTATTACAATAGACAGCTAAAACGTTGGTTGCGTGCTATTGCACTCATTTGAAAAGTTAGTGATAATATCATGTGCTCTTCTTGGAATCAACAGAGCAGACGAATTTATCACTCGAGTTTAATGAGTTTAAAAAGTAAAAAAAAAATCAAAACGAGGAAATGAAATCTGTAGAACGAATGCAAATAGGGAATTATGATTTTAATGCTTTGGAGACATTTAACATCAGTGAACGAAAGATATTAAAGAAGAATAGTTTCGGTTTGAAATGAGCGTGCGGTTGTGTAGAGAAGGAAGAGGGAAAGTAATACAAAAATGGAAGTGAGAAATACGCAAACGAATGAGTTGAATGAAAATTACTAGATAGATACATAGATAGTAGTAAACAGATTGAGATAGATAGATAGATAGATAGATAGATAGAAACGGAAGAAAAGAACATTTTAATGAAAAAATAAACAAAATTAAAAAGGAAAAGCAAATAGCATGAACAAAAACAAAAGGAAGAAGAAAATATGAAAAGAAAAAAGTAAAGAAAAATGAGAAAAAAAACAGAAACTGAAGAGACAAATGAACAACAGATGACAAGGCTGTGTTAGAAGAAGGATGAAAGGAAGGAAGGAAGGATGGAAGGAAGGAAAGAAGGATGGTAGGAAGGAAGGATGGTAGGAAGGATAAGGAAGGAAGGAAGGAAGGAAGCAAGAAAATGAAGGCAGGAAGGAAGGAAAGGTGGTAGGAAGGAAGGAAGGAAGGAAGAAGGAAGGAAGGAAGGAAGGAAGGAAGGAAGGAAGGAATGATAAGGAAGGAAGGACGGTAGAATGGTAGGAAGGATAAGGAAGGAAGGAAGGAAGGAAGCAAGAAAAGGAAGGAAGGAAAGAAAGGTAGAAGGAAGGAAGGAAGGATAAGGAAGGAAGGACGGTAGGATGGTAGGAAGGATAAGGAAGGGAGGTAGGAAGGAAACAAGAAAAGGAAGGAAGGAAAAGAAAGGTAGAAGGAAGGAAGGAAGGAAGGAAGGAAGGAAGGAAAGGAAGGAAGAAAGGAAAATGGAAGGAAGGGAAGGAAGGAAGGAAGAAAAGGTAGAAGGAAGGAAGGAAAAAGGAAGGAAGGATGGTGGGAAGGAAGGAAGGAAAGATGGTAGGAAGGAAGGAAGGAAGGAAGGAAGGAAGAAAAGGTAGAAGGAAGGAAGGAAGGAAAGGTAGAAGGAAGGAAGGAAGGAAGGAAGGAAGGAAGGAAGGATGGTAGGAAGGAAGGAAGGAAAGATGGTAGGAAGGAAGGAAGGAAGGAAGGAAGGAAGGAAGGAAGGAAGGAAGGATGGAAAAGGTAGAAGGAAGGAAGGTAGGCAGGAAGGAAGGAAAGGAAGGAAGGAAGGAAGGAAGGAAGGAAGGAAGGAAGGAAAAAGAAGGAAGGAAGGAATGGAAGGAAGGAAGGAAGGAAGGAAGGAAGGAAGGAAGGAAGGAAGGAAGGAAAGAAGGAAGGAAAGGTAGAAGGAAGGAAGGAAGGAAGGAAAGAAGGAAGGAAAGGTAGAAGGAAGGAAGGAAGGAAGGAAGGAAGGAAGGAAGGAAAGGTAGAAGGAAGAAAGGAATGAAGGAAGGAAAGGAAGGAAGGAAGGAAAGAAGGAAGGAAGGATAGTAGGAAGGAAGGAAAGATGGTAGGAAGGAAGGAAGGAAGGAAGGAAAGAAGGAAGGAAAGGAAGGAAGGAAGGAAGGAAGGAAGGAAAGGTAGAAGGAAGGAAGGAATGAAGGAAGGAAAGGAAGGAAGGAAGGAAAGAAGGAAGGAAGGATAGTAGGAAGGAAGGAAAGATGGTAGGAAGGAAGGAAGGAAGGAAGGAAAGAAGGAAGGAAGGATGGTAGGAAGGAAGGAAGGACGGAAGGAAGGAAGGATGGTAGGAAGGAAGGAAGGAAAGATGGTAGGAAGGAAGGAAGGAAGGAAGGAAGGAAGGAAAGTAGAAGGAAGGAAAAGAAGGATGGTAGGAAGGAAGGAAGGAAAGATGGTAGGAAGGAAGGAAGGAAGGAAGTTCGTAGGAAGGATAAGGAAGGAAGGAAGCAAGAAAATGAAGGAAGGAAGGAAGGAAGGAAGGAAAAAAGGAAGGAAGGAAGGAAGGAAGTTGGTAGGAAGGATAAGGAAGGAAGGAAGCAAGAAAATGAAGGAAGGAAGGAAGGAAGGAAGGAAGGAAGGAAGGAAGGATGTTAGGATGGTAGGAAGGAAGGAAGGAAGGATAACGAAAGAAGGAAAGAAAAATAAGGAAGGAAGGAAGCAAAAAAAGGAAGGAAGCAGGAAGGAAGGAAGGAACGAACGAACGAACGAACGAACGAAAGTTGTTGAAAGAGATTGCGAAAAACTTGAGGCAATCAGCAAAAAAAAAAAACTATGATAAAAGCAAAATAGAGGAAAAAAAAAAGAATGCAGAAAAGTAGAAAAAAACGAGAATGAAAAAATGTAAAATGAAAAAATAGAAAGAAAATCGGAGAAAATGAAGAAAATCTTCGTTGCGAAAAAAATACAATGAAAAAATCACAAAACACATAAATAGAAAGAAAAAGAAAACGGGAATAATTAATAGTGAAGAAAAATAAATAAAAAGAATGAAAAATAGAAAGAAAAAAGAAGAAGAAGAAGAAGAAGAAGAAGAAGAAATAAGTAGATCAGGACGATAAGATAAATGCAATTTTGTCGGCAAGTGCTTTAGTTCAATCAACAAATATCAAAGAATCGATGTACAAATTTGCAATGCAAAACTGAGACCTGCTCTTCTTTACTGCCTCATCTCACACGCATTTCAGATCTTCATTCTGTTAACCTTAACAGACTTTTTTCATGATGACACATTATGTGTGGAACCCAAAGAAATTAGAATTTTATAGGAGGAAATGCAATGCATTTTTCAACATCAGTATCTAATGTGCACAAAGCGTTTAGACAAACAGCTTATGATAGATTAACAGTATCAGATAGCTAGCTAGCTAGCTAGATAGATAGATATGATAGATAAAAACTAATATACTGCTTGCTGGCTGGCTAGTTAACTAGATAGTATAAAAAATGGTATATATATATATATATATATATATATATATATATATATATATATATATATATATTTGAAAGGGTACAAAAGCGTATTAAGGCATTAAAAACAAGAGATTTTATATTGTAGGCCATGATAGATTTAAAACAAAAACACACACCAGTCGACCAGTTTCGTCCCCTCTCATCAGAACTGTTATTAACGGGGAACTAAAATTGCTGTGCTGCATTTCTAGCATCTTGGTTGGTATAATTTTTATAAAATTTTTTTTTTCTCCCTGTCCACTCATTCATGTCATCCATGACAGACTTTTTCTTTTCCTCATAATTTTAGTTCCCCGTTAATAACAGTTCTGATGAGAGGGGACGAAACCGGTCGACTGGTGTGTGTTTTTTTGTTTTAAATCTATCATGGCCTACAATATAAAATCTCTTTGTTTTAATGCTTAATATATATATATATTATATATATATATATATATATATATATATATATATATATATATATATATATATATATATATATATACTGAGATAGATAGCTAGTGTAGATAGACATGTAAAACTGTTAGACAAATATGTAATGATTAAGTGATAAATAGTATAAAAATTGATATATATATATATATATATATATATATATATATATATATATAATTGAAATATATAAAAACTGCTAGATAGATAGAAATGAAATGCGCGTGCGGTCGAATGGAGAAGGAAGAGGAAAGTAATGAATGTGTGAAATACGCAAACGAAAGAGGTGAATGAAAATTACCAGATAGATAGATAGATAAGAATAGACTGAGATAGATAGATAGATAGATAGATAGATAGATAGATAGATTGATAGATAGATAGATAGATAGATAGATAAAGAATACACTGAGATAGATAGATAGATAGATAGATAGATAGATAGATAGAGATAGATAGATAGATAGATAGATAGATTGATTGAGAATGCACTACAAAGAACATACTTAACCTAATCAGACAGATCGAAAAAAGTGTTAAGGATGAGGGATAAAGCAATATATATATATATATATATATATATATATATATATATATATAAGCAAATGTAAATGGATATAAATCCGACAGAATGAAGAAAATTTGGAAAAAAACAAACAAAAATCCTTAAATGCAATTATGTTGTTTAAAATGAATGAAATGTCGACGTCTGACGTTTCGGTTTAATAAACCTTTTTAAGACAATATTCATTAAAAATACAATACTTGAAAAAGGTTTATTAAACCGAAACGTCAGACGTCGACATTTCATTCATTTTAAACAACATAATTGCATTTAAGGATTTTTGTTTGTTTTTTTCCAAATTTTCTTCATATATATATATATATATATATATATATAGATAGATAGATAGATAGATAGATAGATAGACAGATAGACCGAGAGAGAGATGTATCAGTGGGATTCGTTTAGAATCCCGTGTCTACGCTGCCAAGAAGATGGAAATCAGACATTGCACATATAGTTATGTCAGGTTTCAAAAACGTTTCTTTATCCCTGTTTTTTTTTTTTTCATACATTTCACGGCAAATAAACAGATCACATATAAGGCGTGTAAGGCCGATAACAATTCTGGTTTAATAACTGCTCCTTCCGTCTTCGACCAAATTAGAGTAAATTATTTAAATTGATACCATATTTTTCCTATTGAAGTAGAGGAGGAAATATAGACTCTTTCAGTGATGAGAAAAACATTACTGAATCCGCTTGAAATTCTTCTTCTTCTAACTGGTATGTCTCAGCAGGACGTTGACGATAATGGCTCTCCACAACGTCTTGTATTTTGTAGCTCTCAATAAATTTGTATTTTTATAATCCCTCCTAAATCTTACTTCGCCATTCCATTTACACAAGCTCGATAGATAGGATATGCGTTCTTTCCCTCTTTTCCTCTTTCATTCAATCAGTCCTGTGAGTATCAAATTTTTCAAGCCCTCTTTCCTCATTATATGCCCTCTTTCTAATGTTAATGAATTAGTATCCTTTTTATTTCTATTTTCTCTTAAACTTCGTCGTTGCTCACAGGTTCGTTCCGTGGTATTCTCAGCATCCTTCTGTAGAACCATATTTCTGTTGCTCCCAGTCTCTTCTTCAACAGTGCTTATATTACATAACAGTTCCGTTCTCTGTTCTTTGTTTCTAACGAAAATTTTCTCTCTCTCTTAATACTTTGCTTAGCTTTATGGAAGGCATCTTTCGCTATCCCAATGCGCCTTCGCATTTCAGTGCCGCACTTTTGTTCCTCTGTTAAAACACTTCCCAGGTTTCTGTAAAACGAATGGTAGACAAAAACTAGATATAAATATTAATCTGCAGTTAAAAGAGAGAACTTGCAGATCATACTGAGTTGTTAGACGTGATTCGAATATTATTACCTTTTATTTCTTTGCGATGTCAGCAAAATATTAATTATAAAACTTTTTCCGTAGAGTATCTCGAACACAGAGTTTTTCAAAAGGAGTTGATGATTCCCATGGCCTCAACAAAATGGGAATGTGTCTATATTTCTGGGATGAGGTATTGTAATTATTTATACTATTCACATTATTCGGACTATTGTCCTCATTTTTACTGGCACATTCACGACGTTTCGGCCGTTGTACGCTCCGTCCTTCTTCAGGGGATATTTGTCGTGGTTCTGATCTGGAGTAAAGTGATAATGTCTGATAAGTCATAATACTGATTTGGATTAAAGTGATAATCCCTGATGAGTCGTGATACTGATGTAAATTAAAGTGATAATCTCAGATGAGTCGTGATACTGATTTGGATTAAATTGATAATATCTGATGAGTCGTAATTCTGAAACACCCCGGGATATGTTGCTGCTACTTGGGCGCAATTTTAATGAAATATATAAAACTGATTTCCTAAAGAAAGAAAAAAAAGATAACTAACCATCTATTTATGATAACGAGATATCTCATATCAGGCAAAAGGGTCAGGAGAGATGACAATTATTACTCAACAGAAGATGCACAGGTTTACATTGAATATTTAGACATTTTCTCCTTCCCTCGATCGAAAATAGGAGTGGTGATGATGAAGCGATTATTTTTTCAAATGATAATGTCTTCAAACCGAATTGCAAAAAGAATAAAATTCCATCGCATTTACTTGGACAGCACACTATCCGAATCTCACTCCGATTGAAAGTTTATAATGGAAATATTACGAAAGAATCTATAACCAAATTCTGTGTTGCAAAGCAGATTTTTCAAACGCACTTAGATGAAACTGGAACCAACGTGATAGAAATTATTGTTTTTCATTAGCGAATTCTATAACTGAAATTTTGACGAATATTAATAACAGTGATTTGTTGTTGATCATTCTATAATATATTTTTTTCAACATTAATTGATCTCCTAATTATTTTCTATAGTTATTCTGAAAACATTTATCCCGTTTAAACAGTGGTATCTCATTTTTTGAGGTTTACTTCTCTAATCCAGGTAACAAAACCCAAATTTGACAATTGCTTAATCTGACTTTTCCGCGAATAAATATATGGAATGTTTTAGTTTATTGTTGTGGTGGAATGGTTTTTGTTGATTAGTATTCACTTGATCTTCTTCAAGACACGACATATTGATTTTTTTAGATGTTAGGTACTGTTCATAATATAAATACAATATCAAAATTAATCCCTACTTTAGTTATCTCTATCTTGTTTTTATTTACAAATGTCAAGTTTGAAACTTCTCTTATTGAATTAATATTACTGATGCTTGTTTGTTTTTTTTTTTAGCGGTATATCAACACCTTATGGGTCATTCAATGCCAAAATTTAATTTTATTAGGATCAGTAATATTTTCTTTTACAAAAATGCATTGCTGATAATTTTTTTTATACAAAAATGTATTTCTGGTAATTTTTTAAAATTTTTTACGAAAATGTAT